ACAGAGAACAAAAAAAATACCAACAACAATAATAACATCATAAACATCATATGTATCATTTGTTAATAAATAAATAAATAAATTCTTATTTTGTACATTTTTTATTGAAAATTATTTTTGTCTTCCCTCAACAACTTTTTTACGAGGCAATTCACACAATTTGATATTATACTTCTTCAAAAAAACTTTATTATATATGTCGAACAATCTATTATTTATATTTGAGTTCCTAAATGTCCTTCGTTTTCTTCATTAATAATCAACCAACAATAAAATATTTTATTATTACTAAAAATGTATTCTCACAAAATTTGTAATGCATTTGAGTATCAATTACATATGAATTAGTTCGTCACAAACTCAATATGTATGAAAAATAATTATTAAAATTTATACTTCATCTGTGATATGATCACTATCTACTGATGATTAATTGATGTGACACTGCACTACTAATTCTCTTATGTATTGAATGATGGAAATATCATGAATCCAATAGTCAGGCAGGTAATTAATATTATTTAAATATCAACTGTAGCTTGTCAATCTCATGTGGAATTTAAATGTCAGCGTATATTTTAATATCAAAATAGGATAAAATAGCATAGTTAAATATAATTATAAAATTATACACACCCATTTTTAATCTTGAATAAAGAATCATACACTCGCTTATGTAAGTGAAATCACTGAATCACTGGATTGTTACAAATTTTTTTCCATATCCCTAATAATTCAGTCATGGTTTCAATTATTTTTGCAAGTTAATCAAGTTAAAATTTGGAAAAGTGAATCTTTTGGTCAAATACAATTACATAGTTTTACATTTTTTGTTTAATGCAATATAATGAAACCTCTTTCTTATTTGAAATGTTAATTCAAAAAAAAATTATTAATTCATTAACCTACCTCATTATATATACAGTATATGCACACAAAAATAAAACTAAAATTCAAATTTCTCAAAAAAAGAGCAATACATAATAATGATTCAACAAAATGAATGTTGTTAAGCGAATCAAAATGAAGAGTTATTAAGTGAACAATAAAAAAAAAGATTCAAAAAGTAAATTAAAATAAGAAATGAAAATAAAAGAATACCAAAAAGAATATTATTCAAGGAGTGGCAGGCTTCCTAAAAATGAATTGCAATAATAATGAAGATGGTAAAAATAAGAAAACAAGATAAAAGTATCAAATAATAAATAATAGGATAAACCAATAATGTAATAAATAATGAGTCGACAAAAATAAAAAGAATATTAGCAAAAAGAGAAATAAAATAAAAGGAATGCAAAAAAGATTCACAATAAGAAATCAGTTCTCCTTCGACCCAAGAATAATAAGTAGAAATATTAAATTTGAAACAAAATAATAACAGTATTAAGGATACACTAATAAAAATATAGAAATATATAAAAACAAATGAAAGTTAGCATTAATTATTTCAACTATGTGCATATACTGTACGTTGTTATGTTTAATGACAAAGAATTCTGTTCAATTATTGTATCCAATGTAAGCAATAGATACCAAAAAATGTTAGTGTTTGAAAATTAATAGATAAAGTAATATCCGACAAAAATGATTAAATACTCACTGATGACATTTTGAAACAAAGATCTAAAGATGAATAATAATAAATGTTAGCAAAAAAATTTGAAAATAGAAAATTGTTAATATAGAATCATCAGTAAAAAAAATTGTTAGCTGAATCGCAGAAAATTTCTAAAAATTTGAAACCCTTAGTAATAGAAATAAAAATGGTCAAGAAAATAATTGCTTTAGAAAATATGTAAATGCTAGCAGAAATAAATGTAGAAATTATTATCATAGAAATAAAAGAAACTAAAATCATCAGAAATAAAATAAATGTTAGTAGAATTAGAAAATAAAAGTAAAATATAAACTATTATTAAAAATAGGAAATGTTGATTAAAAAAGAAATCATTATTATAAATAAAAAATCATTAAAAAATAAGAAAATATTAGTTAAACTAATTGTTAAAAGAAGTATGAAAAAATAGAATTGTTAGTAGAAAAAAATAAATAAAAGTCATTAGAAAAAATTGTTAGGAAACAATAATAGAGAACCATTTGTTAGTATAAATAAAATATAACCAAAATCATTAGTAAAAAATGTAAAATTATTAACAATTAGTATAAACTGAAGTCATTAGTATTAAAGAGAGGCTATAATAAATAGAAATCATTATTATAATTGATAGAAAATTGTTAGTAAAATAGTGAAAATAGAATTGTTAATAATAAATCATCAGTAGAAAAGTATTTTAATCTTATTTAAAAGAGTGGTTGTATTAGCTACATTACCAGACCAGTACGAAGACATGCTTATTTTAGAGAACCTTCTACATCTTCCTAAGAATCAGAATATATGAAAATTTCATTATTTGTTAAGTGATAAATGAAATTGAAAGACAATTCAAACTAGACCATTATCTTGACAGGTTATTATAAGTTCACATATAAAAATTTAAATCAATAGATCCAAAAGTAACATCGAGATGTATGACTTTCTTAAATGTGAAATGAAAGAATATTGCTTGGGTGTCTGATTGATGCCCATCAGAACCTTACAAAATATAGTATAAATATATAAGAAAGAATATCTATAAAAATGAATGAATAATAATAAAATTGAGCCAGAAGTAATTATAATGACCATACCATTAGAAATGACCTATCATTTGCTGGATGTATTCATTACCACATTGATTAAGAATTTTGTTGGCTCACATGACAAGTAAATCTGATTATATCGACGTCTTGCTTCTCTTCTCGTCTTGTTAAGTTTAAAAAATATGATATTGCCCTATTTTAAATAGGAATTATATTTATTTTGATATCAAATGAGGCTTTAATTAAGTTCACAAATATTGTAATAGCTTCATGTATTTGCAATGTTTTAATTTTTTAATAATTCATTCTTTTTCTCACAGACGTGTCTAATTCATCTTTAATTTTTTTTGTTAAGAACTAAAACTTCAATAAAAGTAATGAGTAAAATTCTTCATGAATTTATATAATAAATTTTTGTCATACCTCAATTACTTCACATTAGTTATAAGTTCTAGTGAAGTAGTCAGATTTAGTCTTGCTTTTCTGATTTTGCAATAATCTTATTATTCTTGAAATAAACATCTAGACGTAGCTCTTCCTTGATAAATGACTATCAAACATTATTCTTTGGAAGCTTGATGACCAGTAATTCTATGATAATAATTTTCTATTTTTACCCTTATAAAAAATTTAATTTGAACTATTCCCCCTGCCTTTATTGAATAAAAAAAATAAAGACCAAGTTCTATACCTTTTCCCAGTCGAATAGATTGGTAATATCCTTCCCATCAAAATAATACCCACCAAAATTAGGAAGAAACAAAGTGAGATTCTCTTTCTCATATTCTTCATGAATCTTCCAGTCCAATACCAGAAGTGCATTATAAGTGATTTTCATATCTTAGTAAATAATATTTTCTTGTAGAAGTGATGTTTGCTTCAAAAAAGATTAAAAAAAATGAATTCCTTTACCAAAACGACCTAAGCCTTTCATGATCACATGATTGAGGTATTTCTCAAAAAAATTGATAGCTTTGCTAGAAAATATAAATAAACTTCATGTTAAATGATAAAAATATTAACAAGAAACAAATAAACCAGCAAGAAATCAAGAAAAAAATCAAATAGGACAGACAAAAGTTCCAGTTGAATCTCGAAATCGTGAGGTTCCTTCTCACTAAAACAACAAAAAATATCATCAATAATCAAAATGTGATCACTTTTATACTAATATCACTTGAATAATAATAATAAAATATAAAAACAATAAATAAATAAACAATAAATAAACTTACTTTAAATATTTAGTCGTCAAAGTTCTAGTTAGTTTTAAATGCAAAGTGAGTTGTTTTTTCTGAAAGGAAGGATATGTTAAATCACGTTACACGCGCAAGATATGAGATCAAATATGCTAAATTAATTTACTATAATGACATAATCAATTTCCTAATAATTATTTCAACTGGGGTGAGTAGTGTAAATCGTTTAGAATGTCACTTCGACTGGGGTGAGTAGTGTAAATCTTCTGATTTTGAGTGCCGATCACAAAAGGGCGCGCATCATGTAAACATGTAAACAAGAAACCAAAATAAATACACATTTATTTACTTGCTTGAAATTTAATTTCTCAACTCACCTCAGTTATTATCTTTACACTATTCCTCTTACCTTTCGCCTACGTTTCTTTTACATTACTTTACTCTAAACTTGTCCTTCTGAAAAACTTTGATCAAGGTACTTTAATCTAAATACCTTTATTATCTATCTTTGGTTTAAATTTTACTGTAGAAGTTAATTTTATCTTTTTTTTCTTTTTATTTATATCCAAAAAGAATGTTGCTATCAATAACATTAACAGCTCTTGCCAGTGCTGTAGTCATATCAGCTTCTGCCATGTTAATATTCGAAAAAAGCTTGTACGTATTCTTAAATTAATATATTAAAAAAAGAGTTACTGACTTATTTTTGTTTATAGTGAAAATAAAGAACCAGAAAATTGGCATTCAAATGGAGTTTCAGATCAAGAAACAAATGAAGAAGTAAATAATGCACCCAGTAAGTATCAAACTTTGTGTATTGGTTATTTAAAAATATAGACAAACTTAAATTTTTTTTTTGAACTTTAGATGATTCACGTTCCCGACGTCAAATATTCAAACAATATAAAAAATTTGAAAGTTCATCATCATTTATTATCAAAGAAAAACAAAAAAAGCGGAATTCAGTAATCTCAAAACAACATACTAGATTGGAGAGCATTGCCGAAGAAACGGAAACTGAATCAATTAATGAAGAACCAAATAACGAATCATTATCATCACATAATAGGAATTCTGCTCGTCGTAAGTATCAAAATTTGTGTATTGGTCATTTAAAAATATATATAATTCTGATAATATTTTTTTTTTGATTTTTTGGATTATAAATTCCTCATTGGTACCCAAAGGAAGGCAAAAAAAGATCTCAAACCGATATACCATCATGGAAAGTATTATGGAAGAAACAGAAGAAGAATAACAATTGTCCATTTATTTGTTTTTATTTCATTTTTTTATTTTACTTTAATATTTTTTTTCATATCTTATATTTGAATAAAATACAATTTTATAAATCAAAATTTTTCGTAGCTTTATTAAATAATGAAAATATATCCACCGAATGATTATAATTAATATATATTATTTTACTTAATAAATTGATTTATACTTCAAAAATTATTTAGAGTAGAATATGATCAAGTAATATGGTGATTGAATTAACTTGATTTAAAACAATAAATATTAATTGTTTAATAATTAGTAAAATTTATTAAATAAATTAATTAAAAAATTAATTAAGGGTTTGAATTTCGAAGTAATTTTATTTCAAACAATAAATATTTTTAATCTTAATTAAATTAAAATTAATGTCAAATTGATTAAAAAAGAACCCAATGTCAAAATTAAATCCGTGAAATTTTACATCTTAAATACATTTTAATTATATTTATTACAAAGAAATTCTTTATCTTCTGATGATGAAGAAGATCATTAATAAGATAAATCAGATTCAACTGATAAAACCATTCATTTAATCGTTTCATTACATCGATTAATTGTTAATTAGTTTCACCCACATATTAGAAATTTTAATATAATTATACCCTAATATACTCTAAAATATTTCAATTCACTTAATTCAATATATGCGGGAACTCTTTCTCGCCAAATTAATTAAAGATGTCTTTCTAAAATATAATCCTTAAAGGTCAAGGGATGTCATGACCTTGTGACAAATACATTTTACTAAATCTAGATGTTACATTTTAAATGTGTTGAATAACAACTCTAATTGAAAATATAATTAAGGAAGTGGCACCGATATTTAATAAAAATAATTAAGAAATTGTACGCATGAAAACTTTTTCTTCATTCTTAAAAAAAAAATCTTATTCGCATTTTTTTTAATTAAAAAAAAAATAAAACTTCAATCTTACGTACTATAAGCGAACAGAAAGTCCCAGAATGTAATGAAAAATATAATTATCGTGATGATCTATGGTGTAAACATCGCATCTCAAGACATTTTAAAATGGAAATGATACAATAAATAAACTTATTACGCTTAAGGCTGATATTTAAAAAGTAATCGAATGGATACCTTATGATAGATTTCAAGACATTAAACAAATAGCAAAAGGTTGTTATGGTACTATTTATTATGTTAAGTGGATTGATGAATGGATTCGAGATTGGATATTAAAAATCAACAATGGGAAGTGGCGTTAAAAAAGTTTAATGGTATTGTTAAATAAGGATTTTTTAATAAAGTAAAGTAATATTTTAAATTTATTGAAAATATATAATATATTAATTATTATTTAAAAATATGTTATTTAGATGGCAATTTTCTTGAGAACAAATGGTGGATCTTCATCAGCCCATCTTTACGGAATTACAAAAGATCAAAAAACTCACGAATATATGACGGTTTTAACATATCATGAAAGTGGAAGAGAAATTATTTAAATAATAACTTTAATGATATCAATTGAAAAATAAATCAAAATATTTAAAAGGAATAGCTAAAAAATTTTCAATAATTAATACATAGATATAGTACATCGTGATTTTCATCTCGGAAATATTTTAAAATATAAATTAAATGCTAATTCTGGTATGCTTATATCAGATTTTGGATTGAGTAAATTAAATTACAGCAAACATAAAAAATCTTCAAAAGAATACCATTTCTGGAGTATTACCCTATATAGCTCCTGAAATATTAAGTGGGGAGGAATATACAAAGGCGGCTGATGTTTATTCGTTTGCATTTATTGCTTATGAAATAATCACTAGAATTCCTTCACGATATGTCACATGATAAAGATTTGGCTTTTAAATTCTGTAATGGATTTTGACCTTAATTAATTACACAAATAATTATGAGATGTTGGGATGCACGAATTACAAATTGACCCACTTTTGATGAATTATAAAACACATCAACAAGTAATTTATACCAGTCGACTTCTCAATTTCTCAAATCTTCCAAAACCTAAAAAATGAAGAAAATTTCGAAAAGAAACTTGATGAATTAACAAAAACCTTTTTTCGAATAGATTCTAGTAAGTATAAATTATATATTTTATTATATTCATTTTCAATTCATAATTTCTTTTTTAATTAGGCGATGATTGTGATGACGACAATGGTTATAAATGATTTGGATATGTCTAATTTATAATTTTATTTAAATTATCAATCATATTTTTTTATTTATATTTTACGCATAAATAATAAAGGTTAATTATTAATTTTTTTGATATTATAAATCTTAAAACTAATTATAGAGTTTGTAATTACGATTTTTTTTTATCAAATAAAATAAATATCCAAAATTTGATATATCACAAATATTGAGTGTCGCGTTTAATAAATTTTATAAATGCTTATTTCAATTCCGCGCGATAAAATCTACAAAAAAGAAATAAGTTACAGTTGCATTCTTCTTCCGAAAAGGGAAATAATAATTGTTTTATTAATTCTTTAATTATTATTTATTCTTCGTTTCTTCTTTGCTGAAACTTAAGATGTTTAATAATACAGTTTCTGCAACTGTATAATTTATTAAATTCATAGTTATGAATATATATAGAAGATATGCTTTCAAATCCACTAATTCTCGTTATTTTATTATATGCTATATATATATATTTAGATGCACATACAGTAAGAGCAAACAATTTTTTGGAATCATAAATGTTAAATAATATACTACAAAAAAAAGATTTATTAGAATTTTGTCAAAGTGATTAAAAAAACTATTTTATTGGTGTGAGAGATAAATTATTTTATATATTAAAGAAATAGATTTGATGTTTCATTTAAATTAAATCTCAACAATTTCAACTTTACATTTTAAGTTGACAATTTGTTTTTTTAACATAATTCTAATTTTATTTTCAATAAAATAATTTTTACCTACGCGAAATTACATTCTAAGGCTTTCCCATTTAAAGTGGTTATAAATTATTAATATGATTTTTTATTTTTTTTTTTATCTATATAAAACAAAAATAAAATCTAATAATACTTTTAATTTTATCATTGTTTATTTTGTCACAAAGAGCTTTAAAATAGGCATAGTTATATATATGGCAATAGTAATTTTTTTGTAACCATTAAATTCATTTTATTAATAATTAAATTAAAATGAGTATTTTAAGAATACTTTTTTTTTCATTTTCGATTTTAATTTTCTTATTTTATTTTCTTCAATAATTGATTTGAATTAATATAAATATTAATAGTTTATAAATTGTTTCTTATTTCGACAATTTAAAAATCTCAATGTAAAATTAAATTATTTTCTTCTCGTCCGTCCAATAACTATAAATAAATATTTTTAAAAAAAACTTTATATTTTCCTTTCGATGTATTTTCTTTAAATAATAAAGATATAAGATACATATAAGTTTTAACGAATTTATACTGGAGATTTTTTTTTTAATGATTAATTTTCTTTTATGAGATAATAAATATCTTATTTAACTTAAATAATAAAATTAATTTATTTTTTTTAAAAATAAATATCACAAATATTATAAATCTATTTGGGAGACAAAGTGATTTTAAGTATTACTTAATGAATTGAAAAAAAAACTCAACTTTTTTTATCATATTTTCAACATGTTTTACATATAAATATTAAAAACGGTTTTTCTTCAAATATATATATAAATTGTAAAGACAAATTATTATAATAAAATATTGGTCAAAATATCAAATAAATAAATAATAATATTCAGAACAAGGAATTTCGAAAAGTTAGAAAGAATATTTAAATCTTAGTGATTTACTGTGTATAATTAAAATAACTTGTGTGACTATCAATATATTACATGTACGTACTTTGTACATGTGTGTGATTAACAATTTATGTACAGAAATATAAATCGGGCGTAACCCGATTCATTTAATTTTTTTAATTATATGTTTTAAGGAAAGTTTAAGGAAAGAAAAACGAAAATAGAAAGGAGACCTTGATGGATAATTTAATTATTGAAGATACTTTTCAAAAAGAAAATATCCCATTTTATCAATTTTCTGAATTTCAGAATATAAAATTGATTACTTCTAATATTTTTCAAACCACTTTTAAAATTTCTCAAAAAACTGTCGCTCTCAAAAATGTTTATTTAAATGATAATGACGCATTTACATTGGATAATTTGAAAAAGATTAGAAGACATCGAAAATTAGAAATTCATGATAGTATTCTTAAATTTTATGGCATCACTAAGCAAGGTAAAATTATTAAAATCTAATGCTTAATATATTAATTACTCACTTATTATTTAAAATTATTTTTTTTTTATAGAGAATACCAACAATTATATGATTATCCTCGAATATGCTAATGAAGGTTCTCTTCGTCAATATTTGAAAACAAATTTCCAAAAAATGGATTGGAATGCAAAATTAAATCTCGCAAAACAAATTGCAAATGTTTTGACGTTTTTACATTCAAATGATATCATTCATGGGAAATTCGTAATTATTTTATTATTTTTTAATTTTTTATTTATTTAGTTTATAATTTTTCTTTATTTTATAATTTTATTTATTTCAATTTTTATAAATTTTTATTTATTTAATAATTTTTATTTATTTAATAATTTTATTTATTTTATAATTTTATTTATTTTATAATAGAATTCTGAAAATATTCTTGTTCATAATGGAATCATTAAATTAAATATTTTTGGATTAACAAAAATTATTTCTGAATCTTTAAGTTTCCTTACGAATATCCTTACGAATATACAATACATGAATCCTCAATATTTAGAACTCTTCAGCACGATTGGTAAAAATAAAAGTTCTGATATTTTTGGTCTAGGAATTATTCTTTGGGAGATTTCTAGTGGTAATCATCCTTTTGAAATGGAATCCTCGTCAAATGCTGATTTGTTAAACAATATTGCAAAAGAAAAAAGAGAAATAGCTATACCTGGAACACCTCATAAATACAAGGAAATATATACTGGTATAAATTTAAATAATATATTAAAATCATTTAATCTTTTACATGATAAATTATTAAAGTACATTCTCGACAGATTGTTGGAAGAACAATGGAAACTCACGACTGGATGTTTTTCAAGTTGTTAAAAATCTTTCCGAAATCATTATCTCTGATGCAAGTGTTGAATTTGAACCTCCTCAATCACAATTTTATAAAGTCAGAGATGTTAAATTGGAAAGTTTAAATATGTAAGTTGCATTTTTTAACGTTTTATATATATTTAAATCTTCAGAACATTTTATTAAATATAAATTTTTTCTTTATTAAGGCAAAACGAACCTGAAATTAAACATTCTCCTTTCGTTTTTGCCACGACTGAAGTTAATGATTTTATTAACGATCTGATTAAATTTTTCATTGATGTACGCAAAAACCAGTTCCAAAGGGATCAATCAATTATAATCAAAAATTATATTAGAGAACACAAAAAGAATCCAATTGAGATTCTTTATGAAATGATTCACCATCCATCTTATTATTGGTTTACTAGCTTAATAGGATTTTTTTACCAGTATGGCATTGGAACTGTTGCTGATAATCAAATGGCTTTTAAATTCTTTAATTTGGCTGTTAATGAAATAATGGATATCTCCTCTTCTAATTCTTCCTTAATGAAACTATACAATACCAATAAAGAAATTAGTACCATCTCTCTTGCAAATATGTATTTCGATGGTCTAGGCGTTGAAAAGGATACAAAAAAAGCTTTTCAGATTTGTTATAAATTGGCTGTTAAAGGGTCTCTTATAGCTTTGAATAATTTAGCATGGTGTTATGATACTGGGCTAGATGTTGAAAAAAATGAAGAAAAAGCATTTGAATTATATTTGAAGTCTGCCGAAAAAGGATATATTGTTGCGCAATTTAATCTTGGCAATTATTATAGAAAAGGAACAGGAATAACAAAAGATGAAGCTAAAGGATTTCAATTGTATATAAAATCTGCACTTGCTGGAAATATTAGTGCAATGTGCAATGCCGGGCATAGTTATGGAAATGGTATAGGTGTAGGTAAAGATGAAAAAGAAGCATTTAAATGGTATCTGAAGGCTGCCGATAAAGGAGATTCTTCGGCACAATATAATGTAGGATTTTGCTATAAAAATGGTTACGGAATTACTAGAGATGAAGTGAAAGCATTTGAATGGTATGAAAAATCTGCAGAAAATGATGACATTGATGGCCAATACATGCTTGGAAAATGCTTTTATGAAGGTTATGGAACTAAAAAAGATATTGTAAAAGCTATATACTGGTTGAATAAAGCAAAGGAAAATGGTGACACGAATGCCAATGAACTATTAGAAGAAATAACCAGTATTATAATGTAACTTTAAAAGAAATCAATTAATTTATGACTCTCTTTTAATAAATTTTTTTTTTGACTAAATATATTTTCGAATGCATTGAATCCTTTATTATTTTTATTTATAATCAAATTATCGTGGTTCTGGGTTTCTGCGTTAAACCCAATATTTATTACGAAAATTTTTAAAAATTGCATCTTTCTATTGATATAAAGATACATTTTAGAATAAAAATAATTTTAAATATGTCAACGGAATTTGACATATTAGTGTAGATAAATTATTTTAGATGTACATTTTCGGTACTCAGAACATGAAAAAGGCTAGTTACCGCATTTCATAGCTTTAACACTAATAAATAATTTGTGAATTAATATAATTTAAGCAATATAAATAGTCTTTTCTTATTTTCTTGATAAAATGGTTCCTTTTCTGAAATAGCAACATTGAATTTATAGGCTATTTTTAAAGAAAATAATTGCAAAGAATTAAATAAATTTTTACTTTCTTAATTTGATAATGTGCGCGTAAGCTCAAATTATAAAATGTCTACTTTAATAGGTTAATTCGCTGTAGGTAAATTCTCTATTAAATAATAAATGCAATATTTTCGAAGTTTTTTTGGTGATTTTTAGTAATTTTGAATGATGATAATGTACCAAGACAACGCGCATGATTGATAGAAATTTAATTTTTAACCACATCCATTCGAAATTTTCAATTGAAAAACTTTGGATTAGTTCTTTTTTATTTAAATATTTTAATATAATTCTTAATAAACTCAAAGTTTTATTATTTATACCTATAATAGGAGTAAGTCATAATTTCATATGATATCTTTTCCCCTAAAATAAATTTAGCCATATTAATTGAAATCTTTTTAAAAGAATTTTAAGATTGAGTCTTTTTAATTCAAGTATAAAATTATGCAAATAGTCTCTAAACAAAATCAATTTACAAAAATTAATAAAAAATTGTATTGCATAGATACCAGCAATTATATGATTATCCTCGAATATGCTAATGAAGGTTCTTTTAGTCAATATTTGAAAATCAATTTCCAAAAAATGGATTGGAATGCAAAATTAAATCTCGCTCTCGCAAAACAAATTGCAAATTTGGATTTTTTTACATTCTAATGATATTATTCATGGGAAATTCGTAATTATTTTATTCTAAAAATATTTTATTGAAGAATTAATTTCATAAATGAATTAGTTTTTAATTTTTTTTATTTATTTATGATTTTTTAATTATTTTATAATTTTATTTATTTTATAATTTTTATTAATCTTATAATTTTTATTTATTTTATAATTTTTATTAATCTTATAATTTTTATTATTTTATAATTTTTTTAATTTATTTTATAATTTTTATTATTTTTATTTATTTTATAATTTTTATTTTTTTTGTTATATAATAGAATAACGAAAATATTTTTGTTCATTAAATTAAATGTTCTTGGAATAATAAAAATTATTTATGATTCTTTATGTTTCCTTACAAAATATTCTTGGCCCAATGCAATACATGGATCCTCAGTATTTGGGACTCTTCAGCACGATTGGCAAAATAAGAGTTCTGATATTTTTGGTTCAGGAATTATTCTTTGTGAGATTTCTAGTGGTAATCATCCTTTTGAAATGGAATCCTCGTCAAATGCTGATTTGCTAAAAAATATCGTAAAGGAAAAAGGGAAACAGCGATACTTGGAACACCTCATAGATACAAGGAAATATATACTTGCGTAAATTTAATAATATATTAAAATCATTTATATCGTTTACAAGATAAATTATTAATGTCGCATTCTCGACAGATTGTTGGAAGCACAATAGGAATCAGATATTTTTCGAGTTATTAAATATCTTTCAGAAATCATTATCCTTGATGCAAGTGTTGAATTTGAACCTCCTCAATCACGACCTTATAATATCATAGATGTTAAATTAGAAAATTTAAATTCATTTTTTAATGTTTTTTATGCATATTTAAATCTGCAGAACGCATTTTTTTTAAAAGTTTTTATATATATTTAAATCTTCGGAACATTTATTAAAATGAAATCTTTATTATTAAGGCAATTAAGGCAAATCGAAGAACCTGAAATCAAACCTGATCCTCCTGTCGACACTGGAGTTAATGGTTTTATTAACGATCTGATTGAATTTTTCATATACGCAAAAACCAGTCCCGAAAGGATCACCCAATTATAATCAAAAAATATATTAGAGAACACAAAAAGAATCCAGTTGAAATTCTATATGAAATGATTCATCATCCATCTTATTATTGGTTTACTAGTTTAACAGGATTTTTTTACCAGTATGGCATTGGGACTGTTGCTGATAATCAAATGGCTTTTAAATTTTATAATTTAGGCTGTCAATGAAAAAGTTGATACCGTCGCTTCTTCTAATTCCTCATCATTTAGGAAACAAGACACATCAACAAAGAAATTAGTACCATCTCTCTTGCAGTTATGTATTTTAATGGTCTAATATTTGAAAAGGATACAAAAAAACTTTTCAGATTTATCATAAACTTGCTGATAAAGGGTCTCTTATAGCTTTGAATTGGGTAGCGAATTGTTATGAAAAAGGGTTCGGTGTTGAAAAAAATGAAGAGAAAGCATTTGAATTGTAATTGAAGTTTGCAGAAAAAGGAAATAATGTTTCACAATTTAATGTCGCCAGGTGATATGGAAATAGAATAGGGATAGCAATAGATCAAACTAAAGGGTTTCAATTTCATATAAAATCTGCTAATGCAGGAAATATTTGGGCAATGTGCAGTGTCGGTTATAGTTATGAGAATGGTTTAGGCGTAGGTAAAGATAAGAAAGAAGCTTTTAAATGGTATCTGAAGGCAGCTGAAAAAGAACATGTATGTCACAATATAATGTAGGAATTTGTTAGAAATATGGTAACGGAATTAAAATTGATCAAGTGAAAGTATTTTAATGGTATAAAAAAGCTGCATAAATAATTATGATAAGGGTCAATGCATACTGGAAAAAGCTTTTATGAAGGTTATGGAACTAAAAAAGATACTTTAAAAGCTATATACTGATTGAATAAAGCAAATAAAAATGGCAAATGTTTTAATAGAAGAAATAACCAGTAATATAGTGTAACCGTTAAAAAAAAACCCCCACTTAAATTTTTTTATTGAAGATAATTATGACTTTTTTTATTAATAAATTTGAATCATTTGTTATTTTTATTTTAAGATTATCAATAGAATTTATTGCAAAGTAAGTATGACTATTTTTTATAATTTGGTTATTTATTTACGACGAATAATTTAAAAATAAAGAAATTGCATATTTCTAACTTTTGATTAATGTCACGTCATGATCTAAAATCATTTTATCTTATTAAAAAAATTTTAAATGTTTGTCGTTATAAAATATTGATTTTTAATATAATAAATTATATAATTACAAATGAAAATAGCAAAAGATATAATGCATTCGAAAAATATAAATATTATTAATAAATTAATTAGTGAACAAATGCCTGTCCTGGACATTTAATGAATAACCATTTAATGAAAAACAATATTTTATAGAGATATCATACTTTCTAACGTTCTCATAATTAAAGATAAATATAATAATTATTCCAAAGTCTTATACAATTTTCTTGGTATTAGATTTCTCATATTTTAAATTCTTCATTAAATTCAATACGAATGTAACGATCTCATATATCTAAAGGAAACCATAAAGCCTCATTTTCATTTTTTAACTTTACTAAGAATTGAGTTTTGGATATTAGCATCTTTAAATGAAATGTAAAATTCTCATTTATTTTGCCCACCCCTCTTTTGTTTTATCCCAAGCTAAGGGATCAAATCCACCAAATGGTTTCGTTAACTTTAATCCGCAATCACATTAACGTGCTCATCATAAATATTCCAAATGTTCTCGGAAAAAATCCATCTTTGTCCTCGAAGAATTAATTAAAATTCATAAGGATTATTTCTTGAAGAATAGCTTGTTGGTCAATTATCATTCAATGATGAAGTCATCGCATCGCTGTATGCTCTCCGTTAATTATAGTTGAAAATAATTCGATTACTTGTCCGATAATTCATGTTTTAAAATCAATCTTGGTGGAAGAATAGTGAAATCTACTGGTTGATTCGGAAGTATAAGATGTTGCTTCAAATCGTTCCTTATCTTTTTTATCAAGAATTAGCTTCAGAATTTGGAATGTGAAAATAACGAAAAAGTGGGAAGCGTTGTTGTAATTACAAGTATATATATTTATAATGGTAAAGCGCAATGTGTCTTTGAGGTGTACAAAAAATAACGTTTGCCATATACCATGGTATATGTATGACAAGATATGACATGATTACGAATGTGTAACATGATACATTTTAAGTCACCCCGTGATAACATACCGTAATTTTTCACGATCTGATCCCTTTAATTTCTTTTTTAAGAATCTCTTTTTTCTTAAATCCATTTTATATATAGATACTTTTTCTTACGAATATCTAATATTGTCTATATATATATATTTCTTATCTTCGTTATTTATATTTCTTAAGAAAAAAAAAGTAAAAGAAAAAATGATAGGTAAAACTAGAAGTAGTAGATATTCAAATATCTACGAATTTACAGAAAACATCTTATCAAGTATTTTTAAAGAATTAACAGATCCCGAATTAAGTTCTTGTATATTAGTGAATAAAGCTTGGTGTAATTTAGCTTTACCTTTACTTTGGGAAGATCCATTATCATGGGGAGCCCCGATTATAGAAATTTATTTGAAATTTTTACCATCAGAACAAAGAAAATCAATTTCAAAAATTGGAATAAATTTACCCAATGTACCAAAAAATTTCAAACCTATTTACTGTTATCCAAAATACATTAAGAAATTTAGCTATACTGAATTACATGAGGCGACATATTCTTGGCTTCTCGAAAGTAAAAATGTCTCTATGGTTTATCAAGATTTATTTGATAAAAGTTTTAATCAAGTGGAAGCGGAACATAATCCAAATGGGAAAATAATAATTGAGAAGATGACAAGTTTAATATATCATTTAATTAAATTATTATTTCTTTCGTCTAAAGGATTTGAAATGATTGATTTATCAACTTCTTATAAGAGTGTAGGAATTCCACCATTATTATCGAAAATACCGGACATGTTTAAGATGGTATTTACGGATTTAAAACATTTAAAAGTACATACGAATTATGCGGATAGTAAGGTTACAACGGAAAGATTGGATTCCGCAAATAAATTATTTACCAAGATAGTAGAATATTGTAATAATTTAGAATATCTCGATGCCAAAGATCTTTCAAATGAAAAGAATGAGATGAGACAATTATTTAGATTGGTGGGAGTCCAAAAGAATCTGAAATTTTTTACAGCAAGAAATTTTGAACTTTGGCCTAATTTAATGATTAAATTAGGTGAAGCAACAGAGAATACTTTAGTTTCCTTTAATTTATCTGGAGTTCCAATTAATATTCATTTATTAGAACATTTGTCTCATTGTAAAGCATTAAAATATTTAGCTCTTGTAAGATGTATGGAATATAAAAATTATCATTATAATAATTGTAATTATAACAACAGTTATAACTATAAAAATAATTATAGTAACAATAATTATAATTATAATGTTGACAAAAAAAATAATAATAATAATAAAGGGAAAAGGAAAAGGGATGAAACGGAATTAGAAGATAATAATGAATTATCTACCGGATCTTCCAGGTCATCAATTACATTTATTACTGCCAAAGAATTATACTTTTATAAAAATAGACTCGAATCAAATACATTAAAATCAATATTAAGATCAGTGGGAAAAAATTTGAAAAGTTTAACCGTAGTTAATAATAATACGGAAGCAATTATTCAAGGAATTTGTAAATTTTGTCCAAATCTTAAATATTTAGCTTTGACAATTTATTCGGATACCAAATTTTCAACATTAACGGATTGGTTAACTGTTTCAAAATTGGAAACCTTGATATTAGGAACCCTACAATCAAATATTCATAATTTTTCTGATTTACCACAAATTGATTTAGGGGAAATTCTTAAAGATTTAGGAAATCATTTTCCGATTTCATTAAAATGCGTAGATTTTGATTTTGAAATTACCCCTCATCAATTAGAATTCTTTTTACGACGTAGTAATCAAATTTTTGAAGAATTAGGATTACATCAAGCATCCGGATTAGAAGATAAACATTTAAAGATAATTAAGAATCATGCGAAATTGACCAGAAAATTAATAGAAGTTACATTTGATAGAGTTTATTGGACAATTGGAGGTGATAGTGATGAAGAAGATGAAGAGGAAGAAGTAAATAATGAAGATGATAATAATAATAATAAGAATAAGAAGAAAGGTAATAGTGTAATAAATTTAGATGAGACAAATGAAGAAAAACCTGATCGTTCATATTTTTCTAATAAGTATTTAGCCGATGCAGAGAAACATATTAATACTATTACTTCAACTTCAATTGATCCTTTCATTGATCCACTACAAAAATTATTTAGAGTTTATGATTTAGAAGTAATGGATACTGAATATATGATTAAAAATGAAATTGAAAATTGGTAAAACAATCAAATTATCAAATCAAAAAGTCATCATAAATATATAGATTTCCTTTTTTTTTGCTTAAAATAAATTTGTTATTTCTCTGTTATGTCTATGTCAAATAAAATGTTTTAAAATAATAAAAATTTTATAATTTACAAAATCTCTATTTTTTTTTTTTGAATTAAAAAACTTAAAAGCACAATTTGATAATATTACTCTAACTAATACAAAAATCAGAATATTTAATTTTATCAGTTCCAAAGTTCTCCTGCAATATTCACATTCTTCTCTCTGGAAACATCTTGAAAAAGATTTTTAGTAATTAATCCTAGAAGTTGAACACTCTTTGTAACTATGCAAATTTATTAAGAAATGATAATTAATTAATCTTATTTTTTTTTAATAAGTAATTTATCAAATTACTTAGTAAATTATTATTTCTTTACCAATTTCTTTACCAATTTCAAAAACCATTTCCATTGGAATTAGAGTGAGAGATAGTAATTGGTGTCTTCTTAGTTTTATGAACCAATTTAATAGTAAAAGTGGAATAAAATTAATTAAAATACCTTCTCCATTCAAGTTCGAAAATCAATGAAATTGGAGAATCAAAAGATGGAAAAAATAACAAGGAGCCCTTTTTTTTTCTCTTTACTTTTTCTATAATAATATTATTATAAATATAAATAGTTATAAGAATATTGTGATTATTGTAGATAATTATAAATAATAAAATCCTGAATATTATAAATCTACCTCAATTCAGATCTTGACATATATCATATTAATAACATATTTCTCGAATAATGTACCACCGGAAATAATCAGCCCCATTGAGTAATTCCTCTATAAAATAAATAAAAATAAATAAACTATTGAAATAATAAAATAATAAAATAATGCTTATAACTTGTGATGTGGATGTTTACAACCATATTCGTTACTATTTAAGAATAGATATTCACAAATACGAATTCATCCATCATAAATTCCTTCTCTATCAAATGCATCTCTAACCAATTCACTAATCATTACTACATAAATAATTATAATTATTTATACATTAGAAATGTTAATATATATATATATTAAATAAATAAAATGATTTAAAAAAATTACTTGCTGTCATAATCGGAAGAAAATAAGTCGATGCATTGGTTGATTGAAACATTATAACAACTAGTGATACTAATAAAATAAATTGGATCATCAGGCTTTATTTAATAATATTAAATTGATAAATATAAATACATATATATTTATTTACTTATTCTTTACGCGTTACTCTATCAAAAGTCGCTGTAGCACCACACATTGTACATCAGGTTGACGCGAAAATCCATAAATCAGGTGCCACACTAAGTAAATAAAAATAAATAATCAAATTATTTGGTAAAAAGAATATAATAAAAATAAAATAAAACGAAAATAAAATAAAGTAAAATAAAATTAAAATTAAATAAAAATAAAATAAAATAAAATAAAATAAAAAATAAAAATAAATAAAATAAAATAAGAATAAAATAAGATAAAATAAAATAAAATTAAATTAAAACTTTCTTAAAAATATAATTAGAAAAAGATATTTACCTATGTAAAGCATAAACCAATAATCCAATAGCTATATCAAGCATGCACCAATTGCCATAGATGGTAACCACACTCCAGCAAGAACTTTTTAATCCAAAAGTTACGGCCGTAATAAAAAATTTTAATATTGATGCAATTAAAAGTAATAATGCTGATTTCCAATGACTTTCATATCGTTTATGTGATATATATGTAATATGAATATGGTATGGGGTATTAATATATATAAAATTGGTTTTGTTTTTAGTCAAGATCAAATATTTAAATTATTATCAAAATTTATTATTATTAAAAAATATCATTATTATTATTATAAAATCACTATAATTATAAAATAATTATGAAATTATTAAAAGTATACAATAGAATGATTACTTGCAAAAATTATGATAATCGTCTCGTCTCTAAACATTCTTGGAAGAGACTTGCTGAACGGTTGACATTTTTACTATAAAATATATGCATAAAATAAATACAAAATATTTTAAGTTTTGATTTAAACTTTTAATAAACATTGAAAAAAATAAACAAAATTTAGTTACCTCAAAAAATGGTTAAATAAGGTGACAAGTACTACTTATCCAACCTCCCATACCATCCAATAATATTTTTAATCGACTTCTAAAACCTTTTTGTTGTGCTATTGAGATCGTTCTTTAGAAAATCAATATATAAATATATGCACATATATATATATACATACAAATAATATTATAAATAAACAAATAAATAAAAATAAATATGAATAAAATAAAATAAAAATAATTAATGATTCACAAAAAAATTACCTATTGTCGTAAAATCATCATATTCTATGCTTCGATCTGTTCCTTCTGTTGACCAATCAACTATATCCCCTGAATTCTTCATCATTACGATTTCTTAAACTAGTTGATTTTCCATTTAAGGATGAGTCGGATCGTGAAAAGATTCGACTACATATTAATCTCGAAGAATGTTTACGTTATATTATATTAGTATATCATATTAGTAAAGTATATTATATATTGTACTAGATCATTAGATAAGAATTATTGTAACTTTCACATAATATTTCCAATATCATACATAATAATTTGATCTTATTTACAAGCCACTGTCGTGTGATTCTTTATTAAAAAAGAATTCTCAAAATAAATGTAATGAATAATTATAAAACAAATGAAAAAAATTAAATAGATTTCCTAACAACTGTAAATACTTCATAATCTATAATAGAAAAATAATCATTAGTTGTTCTAATAGATTTTTCATAATAATTAAAATAACTTTTATTGCACCGACTGAAATTATCTTGAGTAAAATCTGATACGTCTGACTTCATCATCAATTCATATAATCCAAAATATGGGCCATATTTATCTTTGTTTGAAGGATACCATAAAGCAAGATTTTCATTTTTGACTCTACTAAGAATTGAATTTTGGATATTACCATCTTTAAATGAAAAAATGAAACTCTTATTTGTTCCCATATAACCATTTTTTGTTTTATCCCAAACTAAGGGATTAAATCCACCAATAATTTCGTCTGTTCCTTTAACTTTAGTGACCACTATTGTATTAGCATGCCCATCGCAAATATCCCAAAAAGTTAATGGAGCAAATCCATCTTTACTTCCTCGAAGAATTAATTGTAATTCGTATGGATTATTTCTTGAAGAATAAATTGTTGGTTGATAATCAATCCATGATGAAATCATTGATGCTTGATCTTCATTGATAATAATTGAAAATAACTCGTTTACTCTTGATGGTAATTCTTGTTTTAAAACTAATCTCGGTGGAAGGATAATGGATTCCACTGGATGATCTGGAAGGATAAGATGTTGTTTCAAATCATTCCATATCTTTTTATCAAGAATTTTCTTATATGGCTTAATTTTAAAGATAACATCTGAATTTGAAATGTGGAAATAACGAATAAGTGGTAAGCATTGAAGCAGAGTTGTTTTTAAAGTCATAAAGTTTTCGTCAGACCATTCTTCTAATTTCTCAGGTAAAATAGGATTCTGTGCAGTTCCCCACTTAATTATATAATCCCAAATTTCTGATTCTTTCATCTGTAGGTCATCACGTTTTAAAATTGACTCTAAAGCAGATTCACGAAGAGAAGTGAATTCTGCGGATTCGAAAATGATATTTGGATGTTTTACAATAATATCATTACAAAATTTTTCCAAATTTTGAAATTTGTTATGTTTAAAAATTGAATGATAAACAAAAGTGAAGTGAGTTCTTAACCAAGAATCTTTGGATTTAATAAGATGATTTTCTAATTTCTCAGATAATTCTTCAAACTCCAATTCATTAGCAGCAATCATCAAATTGTACATAGTTCTGTCATCTATATTTCCTGTATCAATAATTCCGCCATATATATATCTGTATAAAATAATTAAAATTGTCAATTATTTTAATTTATATTTTCATTATATTCGTACGAAAATACGATTAAAGCATAATAATTTAAATTATGTAAAGGCTTACTTGAGAATAATTTCGAATATTTGAGCGGAAATATTTGGTTTAGTAATAATTTTAATATTATCATCACTTGGAACTGTATTTGTTAATTCTTTATTAAAGTGAGATGAACGATAACGTAAGACAGCCGAATGTGCAGTGAATGTTTTTTTATTTTCTTTATCAATTTCAATAATAACATTGTATTCTACTTTATCATTAAGAAGTTCTGAAAAGTCTTGAGACAACTTTTCTAAAAATTTAAATGTCATTTTTAAAAATGATCTTTTTTTTCAGAGTTTTCGTAAATTTAAAAAGGTTTTACAAACTTTTAATAATCGGATTTTTATAAATGCTTATGTATCCATTGTTACATCAGTAGAATAATTTTGGATCATGTACGACCTCCCTTTTTTGTTTCGATAAGTTTAAAATTTTCCGGTCAGGTGATGAACATATGATGTGGACCTCGATATAAACAATAAAATATTTATAATTTGTTATTTAATATGCATGTCATTTATGTATAAATGTATTAATTGACCAATAATACAGTATGCAACCTTCGAAACCATCCAATAATATTTTTAATCGACCTCAAAACCTTTTTGTTGTTACATTCTTTGCTGTTGAGTTCGTTCTTTAGAAAAACATGAATCCAATATATATATATATTGAAACTAACCGAAATCACGGGAGATGATATGAGATGATATGTGTCTCTATTTGGATGAATTATCTTAGTGCTTCATCCTTCATCCAAGATAACTGTTTATTCATCTCCCGTGATTATGGATGATGATGGATGAAGGTAAATACAGGGTAAGATATAAAATAGCTGCAGGTAAGAAAAAAAAACGAGAGATTCCTTTCGGGCCTTGTAATAATTTCAATAATAATAAATAATTTACTGTAGCGGAGTAACAAAAGTGATAAGAAACGCCAAAGCAGTAATATATTGCTTTTGTCATATTCCGATATTAACTTCAATAAAATTTAATAAACTATTTCTTTTATTTCTTGGCAGTTACATCAAAAGTCTGTTCGGTTTTGGTAGTGTGCAAGCGATAATAAAGATACTTTTACTCTACTTGCTCATAGTACCTTCAGATATTACACTTAGCTACATAAATCGTGATTGTTAGTAAGCAGGTGCAGGTTTAGATCGACTGATTGCCTGCGTGAGAGTATTATTGATATAGAATAATTTGTTGTGCAATAAAATTGAGAATGATTGACGTGACGTAACTTTCCCTATCGCTCTGCACAGACATGATACAAAAAATATTGTAAACAAATAAGTAAATAAAAATAAATATGAATAAAATAAAATAAATAATTAATAATTCACAAAAAAAATTACCTATTGTCATAAAATCATCATATTCTATGCTTCGATCCGTCCCTTCTGTTGACCAATCAACT